TCTTTGTTCTCGTCTTCTGAGGAAAATTAGCGATCTATCCCACAGAGAGAACAACTCTGAACTTCAAAGAAACTGTGTCAGTTTATACAAGCAAAAATGTTGAACCATATCAAGGAATACAGAATTTCAGTTCAGTGGCACAAAGAAACAAAAAACAGTATTACTGGGATACATTCACCTCTCCAGAATTTTAGTACACCAGTGTCCAGCTAAATGATACAAGTAAGGTTGTGCATTACCTGCAAGACACTGTGATGACCACTGTTCTCTCTGGTTTTTCCACTGCACCATAGCAGAAGTACAACCTTGGAATTGATTATGGTCAGAAGCATCACCTCTTCTTTCCTTTTATCATTATTCCCATTGCAATATCACTTAAGATCCTTACACTAAGACCAGGAGTCAATTGTGCTACACAAAATCAACACTGAAGGATAATCTTCATACAAAAGAGTTCAAGTGTTTTTGCAAACTCAAACATCTGATCCTCTTCATCGTTTACAGGTACATTCCACACAGAATTTAGACCTATTACATTAAAGTCTATTTTTAGGTGGTTCTACTGATTGACTACGTTCATATGTTCATATCTTCACAGACCTGCACCAGAGATCTATGGAATGAAAGAGGTTTCCTATAATAATTGCCTTAGTATATATAATGCATGAATATATGGAGAATTAGAGGAAGCTTTAGCCAAATCCATAATAAAAAATTTTCACTACCAGTATCAACATGCAACAGGACACTTCCCTACATGCACTCCAAGGAGGGTTAGCAACACAGAAAAATCTTTTCCTACTGGACATCTTATAGTGAACAGTGCCTGTCACATTTCTCCTCTGGCCTTTGAACACTATAGGAAGTGGTTGAGTCACCATCCTTGGATTTATTTAAAAGATGTACAGATGTGACATTTGGGGACGTGGTTTAGCGGCAGATCGATCTCGTAGTGCTGGTTTAATGGTTGGACTTGATGATCTTAAGGGTCTTTTCCAGTCTAAATGATTCCATGGTCCTGTGATTATTTTAGGGAAAGAATCAGCAGCTATATAAGCTACAAGCACCACCATCACGACATGCTGATTTGAAAGAACTCTGCACTCCTTAAGCTTCAACCACCAAATTACAATTAAATCAGCAAAGGACAACCTACGTTATCCTTAGGCAACATAGCACGCTATTTGTTGATTTGCAGGCTCTACCTATTACAGGGAACACAAAAAGACTCTGCTATCTTCTTCATGTTCAGGTTCAAAAATATAATCAAACCACTAATTCAAGGGAAAAAACCCACAATGCATTGCCCAATTTACTACTTCAGGAATATATATACAGTCTCCTCGATATCTGCAGATGAGGTGTCTTTCTAAATTTATAACACATTCACTGAGAAGCTACCAGTACTCTTCAAAGCTATCATAAAACCATAATTCCTGCTCCCTTACACCCCACTCAAACATTACTCACACAAAAACTTCCTGCATAAACTAGACAGCATGAAGCACTTCCCAGCTAACACTCCCCTGGGTCTAGCTGACACATCGTTAGACCACATTTCAACATTATGCAGCATAAAAGCCTGTCTTTACTCTTAAGAAAAGAGCAAGATAAGCATACAGGATTTCAGCTGAAATGCATCATCAGACCCATTTATTTGATGTTCACCCAGACAACTTTGTTTTCAAAGCTAACACTTTCTCCTAATACTGCACACAGGTAGAGGCAACAATGTGGTCATAAGCCAGGCCAAATATTTTCATAAGCTACTTCTAAGATTTTAATTACTTGTATCCTCAAGCCTGTAAGTGATGTCTTCCCTATCTGCCATAGAAACCTGGACTTCACCCTTGCTTCTATCATAAATTCAAAAATTATCAGAGCCCCTTCAAACTGCTTTTGAAATATTTCTGTACAACATCATTTTTCTTGACATCACAGACAGTATCAAAAACATCACAGGCAACATAAAAAATGATAGCTTGCAAACCACAGCAGAAAACCTACAGATCAATTACCTTGGTTCCAGGCAAAAAGCATTCATTTAAAACACAAAGAAACACCCACTCCAACATCAGCATATTTCTGTTGATTTTACGGAACATGAGAACTCCTCTTCATCCATCGTCATCTAAACCATCCAGAAATACAGGCTGAAAGTGATCTGTCTCTCTCAGTCCCCCTTGCAAAACAAAGTAGTTGCCATCTCCCTTCTAACACTGCAGAGGGGTATCACCTACCTCCTCAATCAGTGGTTTAATTGGCACGTATCTAATTAAACTCAGAAAACAGTTTTTCATTTCTGTCACAGCGTGGTTAAAAGCTTGCACAGTTTTTAAAACTACAGCTTGGTCTAATAAACTACAAGCTCTATTTCTGCTATGCCCCATTGTCATCATGCCTGTAACAACATGATAATCATATGCAAACACAGCCTATATAGTCTTTCTCACCGATGTCAGTGTGATGTACAGTAAGCTCGTATTAAGAGTAGTTTTTGTAGGGCAAAGAGGAACTTCCCTGCTCAAGAGATTCCAAGCAGCTATTTATATCTTTCTTTCAGCTGGTAAAAATAATTTTGTGAACATAGTTAACACAAAACTCATTGAAAGCTCCCAAAGACTAATTTGCATAGATACCAAATGTACTATGTCTCTATAGCCAATACCATTTTCTCACTGAGTTTATAATTATTTCACATGGGCACAATAACAATTATAACAATCACACCATGTGGTTTTCTCTTTTTCACGTAATTTAATAAATTATCATCTCCTGGAGACCTTAATATCTTTAATGGTTCCATATAAAGAAAATAATGCTGTCTTTGATGTCAATTTCAGAATAATCAAGTGAAATCAAGTCCCCAATTCTCTATAACCACATTCCCTGCTTCCTATGCCTGCTTCATAAATTAGTTTCCACTGAAAGTCTCCTGTTTATGTTGACACCTATTTATAGAATTATATGAGAAAGATCTCAGTACTCTGTGGCTTTGCCTAGGAACCCTGCAACACCCACTTCCAGAGCAGCCTGAAAAACATCAGGTCACTCCTGCACCTCCCTCTGGCTCTCCAATTACCTCTCAGTACGTCTGGGTTCTTTGCAAAAGAACAAGACAACCAGGACAAAATAGTTCCCCACCAGAGCAAGCAGCACTCCACAAATAGGTAGGTTTTCAGTATTTTTTTTCCTTTCATCAGCTTTTTCTAGATGTAACTCTATACCCATCAAAATAGCTATAGCTTCTAAAATAAGTGTAAGTTTCTACAGTAGAAACTTATACTATTAAAATTTACTGTGTAAACTTATTATTACTATCTAATTATTACTATTAGGCAAGTAGAAACTTACACAACTCAGGAGGTTTTTCATTATGCATTGTTTTCTCTTAGTTAAACTACATGTATTTATCTCACAACTGTTTTTTCATTAATTAAGCACTTCATTATTGATTATTCATGCTTTGTAGATGGTTACTGTATCTCTGGTAAATTATGCCTCATGAAAGGGAGATTACAATGTAACACAAACTAAGGAAAAAATACTCATTATCTTTCCCATCTATTGTGAAATACTTCTGTATCTGTATCATCAAACTGTAAAAGGTGTTTTATGGCCTCTCCACACTGCTCAGCCATCTCAGGGGACTTACGTCAACTTTCTCTTGAACTTACATGTTTTCTGTTTAGGTTTTATTTCCTAAGAGATTCTTAATTTTTGCTGTCAACTCATAGTATGAGGGAAAAATTCACAGCGTGTTTTTGATTTTATTTAGCTTAACTTCTGTGGGGTTTTGCTGCTCATAATTGACCATTACAGCAATTCAGTTGCAGAGAGGTTCAACAAGAACTGATTTTCCTGTAGAGCGAATAGACAATAGTAAGTAGGAAGAAAAACAATCTGGGTTGGATTTGGATAAATAGTGGAAAATTAATATTATTAATTCTCAACTCAGAGTATGCTTCTTTCCCAAAGCTGATTTTATACTACCACTTAGCCCTTTAGTGTTTAAGATACAAAATAAGGTACTTAATAATTTAGATCAGTCTTTGGACTTGGATGGTCTCAAAGTATATCAAAAGGTGGAAGTGATAGACTGAGACCTAAGGATGTGTTGTCAGTGTTGTTACACTGCCAATTACAGTGCCAACGCCAATGACCCATGGAAGTCCATGTGCCACTAGTTTAAAGGAACCTGTTGCTTTACCACTGCTTCCACCTGTAAGGTAACCCACAGTACATCAAAGCCAGAAAAGAGCAGTGACATAGGTGACAGATGGAATTAAGACTCCATCTCTGATGAAGTTATAGATAAAAGATTGTTTTAATTACCCTAATGCCTCATAATTAAACAGTTAACAAATGCTTGCACAGAGACATTTAAACACAAGGCACAGAAATTTAAAAGCCCTGTCTAAAAATACAGATATAAAAGCCAATCAGGATATCACAACTTTGTAACATACTAATTTCAAATTCCATAAGCCTTTTGCATTATTTAGGAGAGCTACTGAATTTGTGTCTTTTGTTCCCATTATTCGTATCACTGAAACATCACTTTTAAGAAATAAAGGAAACATTAGCAGTTACCTCGATTCAAAAAACTTCCACTCTGAATACTTGAGAATGTTATGGGATGCGACAAGTTTCTATATTGCTCTCAGTGATTTTTACTGTACAAATACTAAAATTACAGGGTTTACTTGGGATATTATCTGCACTGCCCCTGGAAATAGTGCCACAGCTGTCAATTATGATAAGATCTTTCTCCTGCTCTCTTGCTAGTTACATTTTGCTATGTGGAGAAACAAACCTAGTGCTATCATTCTCACCAACTGGAGAATTTATTAGCAAACCACTGGGCTCCTTCTGCCTCAGGATGTCTGTTGCCTGACTGCTATTTTTGCAATTTTAGACTATGTCTGTGGTTAGCAAACTGTGAAGAAATGCAAAACACAAATCTATTTAAAAGCATAAGAGAAACTGCTGATACTTACCAAACTATTCCCTGAGCCCCAGAGCCAATGGGTTTCAAGTTCTGGTAGCGTTTGAGAACTGTGAAGGTCGAGTCACCTACTTCCACGCTGTAGAACTGGTTGTCAACTTTGCTTTTGCTCATGTTGTAATGTTTGGCAATATATGACACATCCACTTGTTTCCCAAATCCCTGTTGTACAGAAGAAGGGAAGGGAAGAGGGAGTGGAAAAAAAGAGAGGAACCAAGGTTGGTAAAACATAAGAATACTGATAAAACACTGCCAGCCTAATTTTTCAATATAAATTCTTGCCCTTTTAGGCTCATTGTCATAGATCTACGTGAATCCTCAAATGCTCTCAAAGACTGTATCAAACCTTCTTTTGTGCAGGAAGTCACCATAAAAAGCCACTGATTAAAGAAAACTAGTCAATTCTGCAGCTGATGTTTGTGACATAGTAACTGTCAACTACTGGTCTCTGCTTGCCATTACTGCTGCTTTATGACTAGTGGCTTATGAGTTCATGCAGATTCTGCATTCTCATTTGTATTGCAAAAAATACCTCATTTTAAAATAAGATGACTTACATCAATGTAGAAGTGGGACAAGAAACACAGGAATTAGACTCTCCATCATTGGTCAGAGCGAGCAAATAAGTGTATTCACAAGCGCTAAAGCTTTCTCTGAGCATAAGAAACGCCTTGAGAACGTTTCAACAGGAGATGCAAAAGAAAGTGAGCAGTTTATGAGTCAAACTGTGACCCAACATGGCTCAGCATCACGGAGAGTATTCAGAAGGTTTGGAGTTCTTTCAAAGTTCTAGGTTCCTAAGGATAGGAGAGTTGCTCTCATGACCCAGTAAATGCATTAGTACCAAGCAAATGCCAATTTTCATGACACAAAACCAAGTTTATTCTTGCACTGTAGCTAGCACTGCAGAGCAGTGCTCCTCCCCAAAATTGTAAAATTAAAAATCATTAATTTTTACAAAATTAGAAAAACTCCCCCAAATTTGCAAAATTACCATGCAGAAAGTTACATTATAACCGCTTTATGGCTACTACTGAGCTCAGTTCCCTTAGGAATATGGAGCAAAGTACACAGCAATTTGAGATAAAAATCACAATTAGATGCTTTTAATTTAGGATTCTATACTATGATGTTGAGCACAGAATGCAAAAGTTTAATGTATTACAACAGATCTATCCTCAAATAGCTGACAATTCAGTTATGAAAGTCAAGGCTTTCCCAAATGCCTTCGATAGGGAAAAGCAAAGATGTGCCTCAGTCTGTGCATATATTTTCAAACATGGCTTTTAAATTTTCTTAATTGCTCTACTATAAATTTCTTCCTTTTCCCTCAAAAATCTGAATAATCAGCCTTGTTATGTGTCTATGGACTACTAAGTTGAATTTTGACGGAGCCAGGAAAAAAGTAAAGTTGATTTGGATTGTATTACTCTTTCAATTGAACAGAACATGACTGAAGTGTTCCATGAAGCTGGTCATTAAAAACAGATAACTGACCTTTCTGAGCACTTGGATTGTCAGGTTTGCCTTAGGACAATTAATATTATTTTTCTGTCCATTATCTCTCTGGAAGGTCCATTGTCACTGGACAGCACTGGTTCATCCTAACCAATTCATTTAAAGACTTCAAAACATTTTAATAAATGTAGCTCTTCATTCAAACATAAAATCTGATTTCAGAAGACCAATTAGAAACTTTACATATACTTTTTATTCAGATGTGGCAGGGGTGGGAGGGAGGGAAGCCCTGCCCTAACACAGAAAGTGAGAAGTTTATGGGCACTGACACAGTGGCAAATTGAAGGTTACAGAGAGTGAAATGATTCCACAAGAGGTTTGAATTTTTGTCATTGCAAGACAGACTGCATCTGATTCACACTGTGTAGTCTTAGTCTTAAAATTTCTTCCATTAAGTAGCCCAGATATTCATACCAGACCTGGGATTGAGAGGCTTTTTTTTTTAATAATAAGCTCCTGATAGACAAGAATTTCACAGCTCCCTCTGGCTAGACACAAACATTTGGAGCGTGGTTTCTTCTGATGTCATTATCAGAACAATGCGTGAGATGTTCAGCATTAACACCCATTACTCTGAAATCGATGTTTATATATAAAGCGTCAGCATAAAAATTGCATTCCTTAGTGAGCCTGACTCATAGCCAGCTTCCCTGGAAGCACAGATACAGAGACTTTTTTAAACACATTTGATAACTGTGTTAAGGCTTGGGTGAGCCAGGCCTGCCACAACTTGTTTGCGTCCTCACTCCCAAGCTACCTGACAGTTTGTTGTGTGGTATGGAGCTACATGGGAACAGATATATTATCACTCTACATTTAGAATTGTGTGCACATCAAAAATTCTGGCTTTTAAGTTAGTCTAACTGTGTGAATTACCGGTCTCAGGAACCTCATGCTCCCTACAGTGGGATTTCTGAACTACAGCAGTTCCAGCAGGTGTTTATTTTAAATCTTAATTAAAACAGCTCAAACTCACCACTTTATAGTACCTCAGTTATATGGATAATTAGCAAATGTAATTGCTTCAGTCAGCAGCAACTAAAGTCATGGGACACAGAAAATCACAACTGGTAAGAACACACAAATGTCCTGATGAGCAGCTCACGTCTATGTAACACAGACCATTCCTATAACAATCTGCTTCTAACAGTGTGTGAGTAAAAAAGGTAAAGATTATTTTATTTTTCATGGAATCTTTTTTTTCTGTTTGGATTAATATTTTTCTGTGTACTTAAGAATCTGTGCACCATAAGGTCTTTGACAAAAAACAAAAATATAAACACCGAGCATTACTTCTGATTCAGTTTGAAGTTAACTTCAAGCAGAATGCCTCTGCTGAGTGACAAACACTTCAGTTTTGTGGATAGGCTGAATAGTTTCCAGGTCATCTACTAGGTTGCCTCCTCAATTTAAAACCCACACCCCTAAAAAACTACAAAAAACCCCCATATTTTCCAATTTTTCCGAAGCCTAAATAAGCAAAACAAAAACACAATAAGCTTACTGCTACAGCTCAATGTACTGCTTACTTTCATAAGAACCAGAAGATGAATGATGTAAGTATCCTTGTCATGATGCTAACTTATATCAAATCCCTAAATCAATAAATTAACAGCTTTATTGGATTAATCACATCTGATCAGATCCCCAAACCAAGATGACACATAACCAAGAACCATCTTCAAGGTGATACAACAGCCACTTCCTAACGAGGACAAGGAAATGGCAGTTTTGTTTAAAATTAGGGTAAAAAACTTTTTCCCATTAGCAAGAAAATTGATAGTCTTTATAGAGCACATCAGTATTAGTTTTAGTTTCAAACCCTGATGAAATGCTTCTTCAAATCCACATAACTCACCTTAAAGAAACCTGCACACTACATTTTTGTCTTGTTTTGTTACATTTTCAGTGTTCACTCAAACCCCTTCGAGAAGCTTTGGTGTTGGTATAGAAAAAATATCCCCTTCCCTCCTTTCCCTGCCCTCCATCTACACCACTAAGCTATTTCAGATTCAGGTTTCAGTGCATAATGTTTACAAGTTCCGTACTGGCAGCTTAATTTAAAGCTTTGATTATCTGGCATCAGAAAGGAACCCAAGGCTAGGAATTTCCAGTATACACCCTTCTGTATAAACACCTAAACCAGAAACTTCTCTCGAATGAGACTGATACTGACAGCTTAAGAAACTGGGAACTAGCACTTCATTCAGAATTAGATGGGGGAAGGAAGTTTATAGTAACACATGGCAATCAGGTTTGCTTCTCAGGATATCATAGAAAAGGTGTATAGGTTTCATATGGCAAAGTGAATTCCAGCGAGTCAAATTTTCAGGTGAACTTTAAATGAACTTGGGTGAGCTACAATACTGGGGCCCCAAAGTAAGAGTAAACATTGCAGATGTGAAACAAAAGCAAATTTCTTCATTCTTTTCACTTTGAACGGAACACATCTAAGTTTCACAGACCTTTGCATAATGTGAAAGATTATTCCTCAGAGACAAAGGAAGCATTGGAGTGCCATTTGTTCTTGTTTTTTATAACTATTTAGACAATGGAATTACATTGCTTCAACACTGATAGGAACTTAACTTTCATTTCACATATACAAAAATGTAAGAACCATTATTTTGGTTTTTAGACAAAATTGAAAACTTCTAAACACACACTCCCACACCCACTCCCCAATGCCATTCTCTTTCCTCCATCCTGAGAAAGTTAAGGGAAAGAGATGTGAAAGTTTTTCAGCCATGAAAACATAACTGTCCTTGTTGGCTCATTTAAACACATCTGCAATGATGTGTTATTTGCTTAATATTCAACCAATTGAGAAGGACAGAAAATAAACTGTTGAGACTGAAACATTTGAGGTGAAGGCAAAAAGATACTCTCACCATTACTAAATGCTTAGAGAGCATATATATTTTGCTTTCAAAGAACAATTACTTAAAAATTCAGTGAAACTTAAATAACCTACTGGCTCACACAGTTACAAACTGTATTCTTTCCATTTTTTTCTTTCGGAGCACAGACAGCAAGAAAGTTAAAAAGCACAACAGAAAGAAAATGATGTTATTTTCTATATTATGAGGTTAACTGCTTCCCAATATCCCATTTTATTTGTCTATTTCTATCCTACAAAATAACCATATTTATAATATTTCACAGGCAGACCTTTGTTTCTGAACACCATTCCTTCTATTATTGATGAGCCTAAAATATCACAATTTCTTACAGCTCAGTATCTCATCCATTTTATCTTTTATAGATACAAATCACACTAATGGCAGTTGAAGACAAATTGTTCTCTTTTGCATCTCCAAGACAATGAGTGCTGTCATAGAACCTGTTAGTGGGCGTCAGTGGAGGGGAAACTTGACCTCCACATGTGCATCCTTCCCTGTCTGCCCACAGGAATACCTACAGGGACACCCTTTCCAGGGTGCTAGGATGCAAGGCTACTGAAATCAGCTAAATGACTCCACTTGTGTAAATGCAGGTGAGGAAAAGAATTAGATGGGAGGCTGCCTCCTAATTTGCAGCTGGCACAGTGCCCAAAGACAGAGAGGATGTTCTGAGCCAGCAATCTTGATGGCTCACCAGTGGCCTCCACACCTCCACCCCACCTCAGGCAGAGATTGGTATAG